CATAAGAAAATCTAGATGCCATGTACTAAGGCTTTATTTCTGTATTGTATAAACAATAAATTTACTTGTTTCTAATTAATTCAAATAATGCTTTTGTTATTTCAGCTCTTCATTTTGTGTAATATCATTCACTTTCCATACTTCCTTTCCTCCATCGAAGCTTGACGTTGTTTAAATAAATAATACTATAATAAATTACATATTTACTAATCAATTTCTTAATTTGCAAACTGCTACAAAAGCAACAGAAGATTTATTTAGTTAGTTTAACTTAAAGCCTCGTCATTTTTTAATCCTTTCATGAGAAGTTATCAGTTTACTTTTTGTTTTAATGCTTCACAATTAGTTATATATCACTTCAATTAATTGTAAGCATATATTAAATGCATTTATCAATAATTAACGAAAAAAATACATGCCTGTTGTTCATTTTTCTTAAATTTGCATGGTGAAAAAACTTTACGTAAATCGTGGGTGGTTACGTTAAACGAACGCTAAATGGGCTGATTTAACGTCCTAAATAACGTGGACGTAAAGAAAATTCACGTAAACCTTAAATGGGCGCCGCCGAACAGTGGCGGGAAGCAAAATTTTACGTTTACGTTAGCGTTTACGTGAACTTCGGCTAACTCGCAACCTATCTAATAATAGGTTTAAAACTTGTGTACAGGTTAGGAGAGACAATTCCTTTCTGGAATCACCTTTAATGTTTTATTGACAAACTTTGTAAGATTCAAACTTCCGGCTAGAACATAGGGGAATTAAAACAGAATTATTCTATTTGAGACAAATCGTCTCCTGCGGGATTTATTTATCTACGGCTCAATTTTTGTTAATATTTTTTTAAAATATTAAAAAAAAATAGTCTATAACCAACAGGCAGTGTTTTTCCGTATGCAATCGAAACTCAAACGCATCGAAATATATATATCAATATGTACCGCAATTACAATACCTTTATATGTTAGCAACACCACTATAACCAACGCATTTTCGCTAACTAGATAAATATTAAATGCCGAGCCGTTAATAACGACCACTCTACTGGGGCAAGATAATTACACGGAATGTGGATTGTTTTACATATGTACAAATTAGATATTAGATTACATATCTCCCTCTTACAAATTATGGAGAACTACTTCTCTTTAACTGAGGTCGATAGCAATTTGGTCTCCCAAATTGGATGACCCAGGGAGGCCCTGCGTGCCGAATTGTGGATGTGATCGATCAATGTTAAAGCGAGGTACCTAGTTGTATGTGGTTAAATATTCAAATAGATTTCCATACTTAATACATAAATATAGTTATTTCGTCTAAGAAGTGTCCACATATTGTAAGTGTCAGGACGTTTAGGCCTGCAGAAACTGAATGCATGAATCAAATCTAATGAAATTTTTGTACAATACTAATGATAAGCATACCGAAGTTTTTCAATCTTTATGTGGTTCAAATACACCGTCCCTACCTTTGGAGCGAAGACTTTGTCGCGCACCTCTAATGAGCGCTTTGCCAGTCGTTTTGCCAACGGCTATGACGAATTTCTCTATAACCCGCTGATATGCTTCCAAATTTTTTGGTGTCCTTTTTTATGAGAGTATTATTTCTTAAGTAATGCCCAAAATCTTTTAATGTTTCGACAATGAGGTACTTTTTGAGCGCGGTCTTTCTTATCGACGAAATCAACTTTTTTTCCTCCATTCTACCACGTAGCCATGTTCGACCAAAATAAAACGTGTTTGTTTTTGATAGAGGGGTCAATCTCCTGATGATACACTCTTTGAAATATATCCAAAAGTTCACATTCTTGCTGGAGGCGAATCGATTTGAGACGCTCCCATTTTTGTCGATTTCCAACCATTTTATGTTTCATTAGAAATTTTGTTTGGTTTTAAATTGGTATTTCGAACGTCATTTTTACCTCTACATGAGTAGAACTGTAGACGATTGACGCTTCGCGGTCAACGGGGCAGTAGTTTTAACAATTCATGACATCAAACTTCGGGGAGTAAGTTTTAACATTTTCTCAACAAGTTTTTCACAAATAGCTTTGGCTCCTCCATTTTTAACTTGATTGTATTTTTGGCGAAGTTTTAGTGTTGTGTGTTTCGAAGCCTATCTTATTGATATTGATCCTGCGAAGATATGTTTTTGAAATTTTTATTTGTCTCGGTGCAACCCTCACGGATATGTTGGTGTTGCATCAAAAAGATTTTTTCACGTTTCGCGTGAGTATATTGGTGTCCTGGCGGACAGGTTGACAAGGCCAAATTTTATAATTTGCATTTTCACGATCCTTAGATATGTCTAATGTATCACTGATTTTGTCCGGCCCATCCTTTGAACAATGAAATGGTGATGAGCCCTTTTCCGATCCGAGAAATACACTTTTTTGACGGAGTGGCAAACTAATTTTTCCACTTCCTCTAAATTTTGTGCTGTCATTTTTGAACGAAAAGAGATAATCAAATTCTGTTTTCGGTTTTAGAAAGCTTATCAAATTTTCCAATTTTTACGCTATTTTACATATCCCAAATTAATTTTTAAGTGCACTCTAAATAAAAAGTAAGCAAATTGCTACTGGGCAGTGTCTATATATGACCTAACCAGTTTGGTAGCGATTTTCTACGAAACTGTAGTAAATTTGCTACCATCTTGTAGCATTTAATTACACCTCTGTAACGGTTAATCAAAATGTGGTAGCAAATTTACTACAGTTCCGTAGAAAATCGCTACCAAACCGGTAAGGTCATATGTAGACACTGCCCAGTAGCAATTTGCTTACTTTTTATTTTGAGTGTGGTTGAAAAGATAGGGGGAACCTTGACACTTTCAATATGTGGACACTTTATAGTTTAAGCCAAATAATCCTGATATTTCTGTTCTTACGTTTACCTAGTCTGCTACGAATTCTTTTGTCAAACGTTTTTTATTATATAAAAAGAACGGGTAATAATTTTTATTTAAAATTTTCCACATGGATGCATAATATACCTGTATATATTATAAAAATACTAAGTTTCAAAATTTCCTCTTCTGGAGTACACAAACTTATAAAACCTGAGGGCAAATTAGTCGCTCGGATTACGCCCGGTTTCCATTGTAGATTTATCGCGAGCTCTGCGTAAATTTAGCAAGGAAAATAGCAGAATTTGCACATGGCAAAAATCATACATACCCCTGGGAGTAAGAAAATGTCGAAGATCTCATCCCCCTATCTCTGTGATGGCTTGGATTAGAACAAGTCGGCAGGAGAACGCGAGATGCTGTTTTGTTCCAGAAAGGGTTTCAGTGGAGGACAAGAGTTATACGGACAAAGCTTCCAAACCCACTGAAAAACCTTTGAAGTCCGACCTATTCAAAAATGGAACTTGGATTTCAAAATAGGTCACGGCTGCGTCATAAGGTGCAAAAGTTGTCAAAAATTGGCTATGAGCTCATTTCATCGATTTTATTTGGTCACAAGAATTTTATCGGCAATGGAAGACCTTAGTCATCTGAATTACAACTTGTGGCTTAAAATTGAGACCAAGGCCTGGACTAAAACTTCCAGTGGTGCAGAAGCTCTCAAAATTTTTTTCTCGATGCGTGTGACAAATTTCCACTGGAAACCGGGCGTAATCCGAGCGACTAATTTGCCGTCAGATTTTTTAAGTTTGGGTACTCCAGAAGAGGAAATTTTGAAACTTAGTATTTTTATAATATATACAGGTATATTATGCATCCCTGTGGAAAATTTTAAATAAAAATTATTACCCGTTCTTTTTATATACTAAAAAACGTTTGACAAAAGAATTCGTGGCGGACTAGGTAGACGCATCGTCATCTGTGACATGAATTGTGACGTTTGGAGCAACCGAGGATCCCAAATTTGGTTGAATTCCGATAGTGAAAAGCAATACTGCTATTGCTACTATTTTTAACTCCATAGTACATATTCGTATGCATTTGGTAAATTGTTTTTAAAATCGTATCCTTGGTTTACACTTTTACTTGCAATTATCTACATAGATCAGAAAGAGTATATGCACGCATATGCAAATGTTTGTAGGTACAAGTTCGCACAGTAATTGCAGATATTTTGAAAAATTTATAAACTCTGACAAGATTTGTGGGCAGATGTTGTCAGGTTTGCGTGGAGGTTCTGAGTGAGGAAAATAATCCAAACATGTTCATCTTAATCAACCACAGCTTTCTCAATATGAATATGCTTATCAGGGTTCAAGTAACTAATATTTTAAATATGTATATCAAATATCATACGTGTCACATATCTATTTAAAGAACATGAAATGCTGGAATGTGGTACTTATTTCACGACTAAATTAATAAGTTAAGTGAACGGTTACTCATTAATTTATCTGCGGATATGTATGTATATAAGTAGGTTTGGATAGTGTTATTTTCCATATTTTGTCAATCTTGCAAGTTCAGAAACGCTGTACATAAATCCTTATTGGACAGAGTTTGAAGTGTAGCCTTGACTTGCGACTTTTATACGAACCTGGATAAACGTGTAAGCTACACATACTTATCTTGTTAAAATGTGAGATTATCAATAGCCAAGTACAAAACTATACAATATTTTGCATATGTTAAGTTTGCAAGGCTGAGTGACATACATATGTATAACGTTGAAATCATTTATATTTATTTGCGAAAAACGCACATACATAAATACGCAACGGCCAGATATTTCTATTTATTAAGATAGATATATACAATGAAATAGTGTTTTTTCATCTTCCAACGATTTTCGAGTTTGATAGCTTAAAATTTGCGTAATTTAGTGTAGATAAAGAATCCGTAATAAAATTGGGGGCGCGCATAGCCAGTTTTCGAGATAAATGCCAAAATGTGCGAATTTTTTGTAAATTTTGAGAAATTCAAGTTTTGACTAAACTTTGCTTTAATATGAATGGAAATAATTTTAAAAATAATTTTAGACTAGAAATTGGCCGCTGCTTCGATTTTGGACCCCAATTTTCCGATATTTTGAGTTTTACAAAATAATTGCAATTTCCATATTATTTTTTCGCGATGGAATTACGCTATTTATTAAAGGTTGTTAGCGTATTGTTTAATTCTACCCAATAGTTGTTAAAATGGTTTGCCAATTGCAAAAGGAATTTGGCCAAGATTTTGCTAAAAGTTTAAAAGGAGTTGCATTCGAAATTCAAATCTAGAACATTACATACATATATCATGTTACAACGTGTTCTTTGGATGACATTTAACTTATCAGGAATTTTGAAAGCAACACAAATTTTGCTAGGAATTCAGAATTTTGTTAACCTCGCATGATTTTGTTAATGCCGCGTCGACTTGTTTATAATACCTCGATGAAATATGTGTTTGATATTTTTGAAATAATTGTCCTTCCGAATTTAATGTTCTGGTTGAATTTTAATGCACAAAATTTAACAGAGAAGTAGATTGAGAGTTATGTAACATACTCATGCATGCATATACCTACATGTTGGCAAGTATATTATTTACTTACATACATGTATGTATGTACTTATCTACAGGATTGCATGCATTTTTGTATATGAATTGTTATTCATTGACTCGGTATGCTCATGGTAAATGCTAGGTTGGAAATGCAAGCAAGATTAAATACATGTACATATCTACATATGCACGTATTCAGCAAACAATGTCTTGATGTTAATTTTAATGCGTATGCATGTAAATTCAGATTTACATATCGTTATCTAAACACCAACAAATACACTACTCTATGGTGGAAAAATTATCACCGATTGTTTACACATACATACATAGTACACAAGTACTTCTTGCTGAATTATATTTGCAAATATCATCATCAATTTGGTAATTGATAATGAATTTCTTAGGAAATATGTCTATGTGTGCGTCAACAGTACCGAGAATTTGTTGTATCGCAGAGAAAAAAATTGGATTATGCGAACTGTAAAAAAGTCTTCGTCAACGGCTTATCAAACTGGTCCAGGCAGATGTTACACATTACGAAAGATCTGTCTTGGTCAGTATGTCTTCGATCACTGTCGTTTAGCAAACGTGGCTTGAAAGGGGTACGGTTTTAACGTCAATCCCGGCCTCATGTCCAACCTGGGCATTTGCTGACCTTTCGGGACGCTCAATTTGTACCGTTGCAAGAGTGACGTGATCCCCAGAAATGCAACAATGTTCGCTTGCAGTTCTCCGGGACAGTTCCTCTTCCCTGGAAAAGAAGTTTGTAAGAAATAAATAATCTGCACAGATAAATTACATATCACCTCGGGATAATTTAAAAATTACGAAAATATGTTACGTATACCGAATGAGAAGGAAATAATCTTCCCCGCATTGACCACCTGTCCAGCCTTGTCAAGGAAACGTTCCGGTCGAAAAACTTCTGGATCAATCCAATCCTCCTTGTTTTCATAGTAGAGCCGCGTGTCACTCATGATGATGGTATCCTAGCAACCACATACATAGGTAATTATCAGATATTAATATCGCTGATAATCGGGTCGTCCGGTTGTTCTGGTATGTTCTTTTTTTAGATCGGACGAGCATTCCCTATCTCAGGTGCTCAATGGGAAAATTTGACAAGATCATATCTTCCCAATGTTAATAAGTGCCTCCTCTTTCAATTCCACAATGCTTAAGTATGTTACATATGTATGTATGAGATGTCCCCTAATTTTCATCCTGCCGTTTTTACACATTTATTGCGTTACCTTTTTAATAATGTAGTCCTTATACTCAATATCGGACAAGGCACGACGAGGAACCAAGTTCTGGAGGGGTTGACCCTTTCGATGCGTTTCTAGGAAAAACGCTTGGATGTACGGCATTCTATAAATAAATATGTGGAACAGTGTATCAAACTACTTCGACCTGTGGAATTTTGTAATAATTCTAATTAAATCAAGTCACACTTTATTCTATCAGAATAACTAAGGTCTCTCCCATCTGGTGAAACTTTCAAGATTTCTTCATAAACTTTCTCCTGTACGTCCGGGTAAGTGATGAGGTATAAAATCACAATCTCCATAAACGTGTTGGACGTATCGGTACTGGTGAGCAGCATGTCTTGAAAAGTGAGTAGGAAATTATCACCTAAACCAAGGATTATTTAACTGTTACGAATTAACTCTATTAATGTATTTTGTAAGTTCATGAAGTAAGTACAATTAAAAATTTTAGAATCCTTGATACTATTTTGGACGAAAGCTTCCAATAAATTTATGGGAGTTATCATCCGCAATTTCCTCATTTTTTCTTCCATTTCCGTGAACAGATTCTGCAAATGGAAGGTTAAAATAGTTACTCGCGGTCCATTACAGAGGTCAACGCCGATGTATTTGTCGGCGGCGTCGGCGGCGTCAATTTTAGAAGATTTTCCGGCGGCGTGGCGGCGCGGCGTGGCGCCGCAATGTTGTAGGAATAGGAAGTAAGATTTATTGGCGGCGGCGGCGCCTAAAATACTACGGGCGTCTGGCGGTGCGGCGGCGTGTAATCGGCGGCGTTGACCTCTGGTCCATTATGGCTCGTTATTTCGATAAATTCTGTAGTTCACATTTTGTGCATTATCGTGCCCCTTCAAACATAAATCTTTGTATATACATATGTATGTATATCTACTGCTTTCAGTTTCGCTAAAAATATGCAAATGGGATAAGTGCATATGTATCTAATACAAAGGATTTGTTACTTTAAAATCGGATAAAATAGTTACTCTCTGCTCATTATTTTGGCCAGCTACCTCATTTCCATTAATCTCATCTTCAATATTATCATGTCCCTTAATAAGTAGTTAAATCTACTGCTTTGCGATGTCGGAATACATGCAAATGGAATATTTTGGATAATTATTTTAAGGCAAATTTTGTCATTCTTACTTGCGCAATGGTGTTGCACTCCTTGAAAAAATCCATTTGTACATTGTATCCTAACGCGTTTGGGAAGATGCGTCTCAAAAACGGAAACGCATTTACAATTCCGGCCCCAAAAACGCTGGTTCGAAGGAAAGCATCTCCTTTCTCGGAGAGAATTTTAATGGACGGTTCATCTTCTGGGGAAAGGCGACCAACTATCATTTGCCACATGATGGAAAGAATGGGGTCGTTGTAGAGCAGTTGGACATCGAGGTCACAGCTAGTTTTTGGGGATCCCATCTTATCGTCGATTGAGCCGAATAAACGTTGCGATGCGACCTAGAGATTTAGTGTTTAGATTTCATAATTGTGAAATTTTTTAGGATATTTTTTTAAGTGCTTACTTTTATAAAACGTTCCATCTCGGACGATTTGCCAAAACCGAAATCTTTCAACGTTTTGAACGTCCAAGGTCTCAAAGTTTCCCAGACTTCTCCTTCAGAAAAAGCAATTCCTAAATTCTTACGGAAACTTCGATCGACCCACATTCCTGAGAAATCTCGAGCAAACGTCGCCTCATTGGAGAGGATGGTTTGCATGGCTTCCTTTGAAGTGAGTACGACTGAAAAAGATTCCGAATTAAGTCTCTAATTTGAGCATGCCTATTTGGTAATATGTACGTACGCATGCACATAATTAATGCTTCATTAAAATTATAAGTTAAATTATATGTAACGAACATTTACAACCTGTATTTATTTTTTATATGCAATCCAGACCCACCTGTCTTTTTAGATCCCATCTTTAAGGAATATATTTCTCCATATTTTTCAGCCAAGTTTCCCAATGCCAAGGTCATGTTGTCCGATGCCATAAACAAATCTGGCAAATTTCCTAGAAGTGGCCAGGGTTTTGGTCCTGCAAGAAAACGTCAAATAGTGGTACAGTAAAATCAAAATGTTATCTCGTCCGAATAAGTTGTTTTCAAAGTTGGAGCTCCAAATGTAAAGACGGCTGATTTTTACATGCATAATAAGTTATTATTAATTACCAAACTTAACCGTCTCCATACTTTTATAAAATCTAAACTATGTACATATGCATGTATCTCATCTGAATTTAGGAAGTGTAAGGAAATTCGCCAATTAATCTCGTAGTAACTGCTGGGATTGTTTCGTAAACTGTGTAAAGTTAGGAAATCTCATACCTGGTGGTTCCTTGCAATCACGATCATCTTTTAAAAGGAAGTAGTAAATTATCAGAAATGAACCAATTGCTAGAGCGAAATAGACAAACATCTTTCTTCCGTGAAGCAAATTTCGGTACTGAGATCACCTATGCAATCATTTCCAGTTTTATGTAAAAGGAGGCCATAATTATTGCATGCATTTATTGTGAGAAAAGTGGTCCGGATCCTACCCAGACAGCCTTGAACTTAAGGAATGCAGGTACTATGTACGTAATAGTTACGAAACTAGTATTTCAAGTTTCCAGCAAACCAGCAAAGCATCTTCAAATGATTTGCGTTATATAACCATCGAGTCGACAGACACTGGACCGGTCATTCAGTAAAAAAAATTATATTTACATACATGGATTTATTGTTCTATTACATACACAGCTAGCAACATGTATATCCATCCAGCAATTTTATTGGGGTAGGTCTGTGCAAGATTGATATCATTATGTACATATTTAGTTACATAACAAGTACAGCAGAGAACGAAGTTTTTCTTGTTGATTTGCATTTAGTTAGTATAGAGGCAGCCGTCCCCATTACACCCAATCCTACAATTATGCCTAACCACAATGTGGGTTGAAAAGGTTTCAAATAAAACACGAAGTCCAGAAACTCTGGTGAGTAGCAGGTTATGAATTTGTAACCCGAGAAACCAGTTGTCAAACTATCATCATTTGTGGACATGTAAAGCCGACCGTCGTTGGAAATAATGCCAGGATCATGTTATTTTAATAGTGGCAAACCTTCCATGGACGGGGTTAGCACGGTTGCATTAGCTTGATTAATTATTACTTGAATCAAGTAATTGTGAATGGAGGGGCTATGTTTCCCACGCCGAAACGGACTCGTTAAATTTGGCGCCTGGTAGGGGAAAAAAATTCTGTCAGAAAATCTCCTGTATCTCCAATACTGAGGTGGAGTGCATTTTTTGTGGAACATGCCAATGCTTAACCAGTTGCCTCCCAAGCACATGAATGTCATGTGCTGCACAAAACGTCGCTAAGGGCACAAGTACATCAAAGTCATGTGCTCCTTGAACGGTAACCATGCGCCCAAATACATCAATGTCGTGTACTCCGACTGCGGTAACCATGCGCCCAAGTACATCAATGTCATGTACTTCCAAAAACACAATTTTCCGCCCGAGCAGATCAAAGTCGTGTAATTCAAAAAAAAAAATTCGGTAAAAATTTCTAAATAGCTGTAGTTTTTTTTGGAGCTTGTATATTACAATTGTATAGCTCTTCAGGCATGTCTGGTAAGTATTTATCATCGACAAGCATATATATAAATATATATCAAATTTTCTCACACTTGAAAATAGGACAGACAGTGAAGACGTCGAATTTTCTCTCGGGCAGTTCTCAGATTGCGACTCCGATGAGGAATTCTTGATACATGAACAAAACGACGACGATGACGAGAACATGATCAACTTTCCGGAAGATGAAGATGAAGAAGGCGCGGATGTAGATTCTGAGGACGAGTTGCGTGACCCCAATGAACACCCCGCTGTACGTATATTATTTGTATATTTGTATATATGCATATTACTAAGTAGTGCGTTTTGCCTAAATTTATTCATATTTTAGACCAATGTTATCCGCTACCGGAAAAATGTTCCATTTTTACCTAAGTTACTGATTATGAGGAACCGGAGGTGTTCCTAAAATTGGATTTTGGGATTACAAAGGAATCTACTGCACTGGAGATTTTACAAAAATTCTTGGACCCCGAAATTTTGGATGAAATCGTCCTTCAGACAAACATGTATGTTCAATACCTAAAACGCGCGGATCGGAATACGATGAAGGATTGGACTGTGGTGAATGGTGAAGAAATGTGGCAATTCTTTGCCCTGGCGCTGATGATGGGGCTCATTATCAAACCGGAAATAAAGGATTATTGGTCTACTGATTCGATGTTTTCTATCCCATTTTTTGGCCATTTTTTGGTCATGTCAAGGAATAGGTATAGCAATAAAATACAATATATATTTATGTGCACTACTTATCCTAGCTATTTTCTTACTAGATTTGAGTCAATCCTTCGTGGATTCCATCTGGTGGACAATGATACCGTCCCACCCAACAATAAAGATCGTTATATAAAGTTTGGAAGTTTTATGGACAAGCTGTTTCAAAATTTCCGGAAAGCAATAAATTTGGGATCATTTCTCACGGTGGATGAAACTTTGCTCTCGTTCAAAGGGAGGTTATCTTTCAAGCAATATTTAAAAGACAAGAGAGCCAGATTTGGAATGAAGCTATATCTCCTCTGCGATTCGGCTAGCAGATTTGTCCTCAAAGCTCTTCCTTACCAAGGAAGAACTACCAAAATAGAGAATTCAAGCTGGATTCAAGAACTTGGATTTGGTGGCGCTACTGTGATGACTCTTCTTCATGGCTATTTTAACAAATTTCATAGAATCACTATCGATAATTGGTTCGTGTCTCCGACCTTGGCATTGCGATTGAAGCAACTTGGTACGTACATACTTGGCACCGTACAGAAAAGAAGTAAGCTGATGCCAAAATGGACGGACAAATTAGCAAAGGGACAAGTTGCGACTTATTCTTCTTCAGACATTTTAGTGGAACGGTACGTTTTTGTAAATTTACCAATAAAACAATACAATAAACCGGATGAATTTCATTTCATGATTTTTAGGTGGTCTGACCGGAGAGAAGTGCTCATGCTGAACACATTTATGGGACACCAAATGGAAGAAATCACAACCACAAACCCCAACAACAACCGAGAGAAACCATCAACTGTTCTCGTTTATAATGCGACAATGGGCGCTGTGGACAACGTCGACAGAATGACTAAGCCATTCACATCTGTCCGCAAATCTTTCAAGTGGTATAAAAAAGTATTCTTCTACTTCTTGGACATTGCAATTTACAATTGGCACATCATTCACTCTTCTTTCCGCCCTACGAAGGAAAAATTAAGTTATAAAGACTTTGTACGAGTACTTGTGCGTGAAATATTAGAAAAATATCCACCACAACGTAGATCATTGGGGAGGAAGTCGAACACTCAGTCGGAACGGCGAATCGGCACCCACTTTCCAAAAAAGATTCTAAAAGACGATTCCTCGGTCTTCCGGGACTGTCACCTCTGCGGTTTGGAAGGAAGAAGGTGTACAACAGCTTTCAGGTGCGAAACGTGTCTGAAATTTTTCTGCATAAAGAGCCAAGACTCGTGTTTCAAGAGATTCCATACACTTCCGAAACCACCGGTTAAAAGGAAACATGCTTCCGCTACTGCATCTTCAACAACGACCAGTCAAAGCCTCATGGACCAATCAGTACCTAGGTCAACTAACTCTGAAATTGGATTAGGATTCGGTGAAGCGAATGAAGTGAGATTTCATGAAGCGAATTTTGAATCAAATGTTGAAGGAATGCAGGAGGAGGAAGAGCTGTTTTCTATTTAAAATGTGAAATTACTTGTGATTCTGTGAAAATATTTTGCCGAACCACATTTTATAATTCGTGATTTATAGTTGTTTTGCCGAGTTTTTCTGGCCTATATTCGAATTAGCTATCATGATGTTGTATGGTGTTTTATTGTGAAAAAAATTGCTTCGCGGCATAAGTAATGATAATTAAAATGATTTCCACTTATCATATTATCAGTATCACCCTTGCATTAATTTGGAATTCTATGGAATTCTAGACTCAAGTTTCCCGACTGATAATCACAACCTGTCAAACTGATCAATTATGCCCTTACTTAAAAGCATTTCAGCACAGATAAAGACAAGCTTTTTGAAATACTTGCATCCAATCTTTTTAATTTGACTAATTCAAATTCAAATGGCCTGGTTTGTTTTTACTAAGTTATTCTTCGCGTAATTTAACTTAAATTCTTATGTATGTATATATGTAAATATGCATTCATTTATGCTTGATTCAGCATAGTTGAGGTTTTATTTAAGTTTTAAAATTATTTCTACATATACATATTCCGCAAAGTACGATTTCTTCCCGTATTGCACCCGGTATTTGTCTCCTCCTCAGGAGGTAGTGAATCAGCTATAGCAGTCCTTCAATTGGAACACGGAAGTTACATTAGGCAATTTCCGGTAGGCAATTTCCGGTTTGATTCATACATATATAATGTGGCAAAGGTATTATTTATATTTACAGGGTTACATGCTTATATTATATGTAGCTCCTTAAGTAAAAACAACCTCTGGTAACAAATTTGTCACCGATGTTAATACATGTTTAGCACTGTGCTAAACGGTGCTCGGCGAACCGGTGCGCTCACTTACTTGACTTAGGTGTGGTGGTTCGGCGCACCAGAAATTAGCAAGTCTGTTAGCACAGGAGTAATTTTTGCGGAATTAAATTTGGAAATAAATAAACATAAAACTTCTAACTAATTGATAATGCCTAGGAAATACAAGTATTTGACTTGATCGGTGGTGACAATGTGCTGTCGAACCTACACCTCAACACTGTTTCCATTACAAAAAGTGCAAAGAGACATAAATAACTTATGGCGTGCATGTCTGCATAAACGAGTAGATATATAGCTACAAATTGTCTTTAATCTGGAAATTCAAAATTTATGTACAAGTAAACTAACAAGTAGTCATTTTGACAACCCAAACTGCTGTGTGCATAAATGTGGTCATGCGAGAAACGGTTTTTAACATAGGCTACGAATCGGTACCCAACTGATGTCATGTAGTCCCTCAAGTTATGTTCGATTTCGTTGCGGACTTCGATTGAGAACGTCTGTATAATAGAATTAATTCAATAAAGCAATTTAGGGTCATTGGTAGCTTTTACAAGTTTTGTAAAAATGATTTTGCAAACTTTTACTGAATTAAAAAATCCTAGTTATCTAAAATGAAAAACAATTTGTGAGATAACTAATTTTCTTTGTAAATACATATTTATATATATATTTATATATTTATTTAAATACATATTTATATTTTATTGTAAATACAATGTTACCAATGACTGCATAGATTACTCCACAATACTCTTTTGAAAACTTGAACTACTCTGAATTTCATGTTAAATGACTTGT